CCTCATTTATATCTGATTTCTCGAAGAGTTATAATCATCTCCTTATCAATATCAATATTAGATGATCTCTCCGTATACCGATATCGTAAATAATCCTTCTCAAGAATTATATATCAATTTCGATATTTCGATTCCCAAATAATGAAATATCTTATACTATTCCTCCTATTCTATAATGAAATCCTAGAATTCCCGGGACAAGCATTATCTGAAAATCTAAAATTCTAAAATTTCATATCTAGAAGTAATTCTTCCTAGCACGAAAATGCCGCAGAAATGGATTGCTTGATTGATTCGATATCCTCATTTGGAATCTCTGAGAATGGAGATTTATATGTCATATATTTTGAAATATCTAATCTTTAATATTATTCCAAAATATCTTTAATATGAGATCATTTCATATATCGCTTTTTTAGATTTATCAATAGAATAGAATAGGCGCCTTATATAAATCTCATAATCTAATATCATATTCAATTTTTAGCATGATTCTTCCTACTAAGTCTGAATGAGATGATAATTTGAAATTAGAGGATAGATACGTACCCGTTGAATAGGTCGAAATGATATCTATTCTACGGCGGGATGATATATATTCTACGGAATAATGTATCTGACTAGTTTATTTATATGAGATATCTGAATCCATTCGTCTATAATCTCGTCTCAATATCTGAGTGGGATTGAAATCGAGCACCTACACGAAAGATCAATAATTTTGATTGAAAAAAAAAGATTATCTATTGATTGTCGCCTCTTTTTATACGATATAACCAATCAAAAATTCTGCTATCAAACGGGCTCAATCCAAGATTATCGCTCGCCAGAATCTAAGGAATCAATCGATAAACATAATTTCAGATAAGAAACCATCCCAATCTAATATCATCGACAATCTCCATTTCTCGATTTTTTAACTAAATAGATACATTCGACGATTATATATAGATTTCGCATATAATTACCTATTCAAAATCAAAATCATGAAGAGATCATAAGATTAATCACCATATCATTTAAATGTAAGAATTAAAGGAACGGAGAACCCCACATGCGTAATTTAACCCGAATTTAAGTGAGACACTATTAGGATACCGTCGCCCGGCGATTTAAGAGGACATATATAAAAGAATGCAAACTCTTGAGACCGCATTCCGCGGTGAAACGACGAGCACATTGCGCGAGCGCGAAGTCGGCATTAGCTGCAGCTGATGAATATAGATATATATATATATTGTCACGTGTATATTTCGCATATGGTTTATTACACAAATGTGGGCGCGCGCGCGTGTGTGTGTGCGTGGATATGTGAGCGAAGCGCGTATGTGTGTGCGCATGTGTACGCAGGTGTGGGTGTGTGTATGCGTGTGCGCGTGTGTGCGTGTCTGCGTGTCTGTGGGTGCGCGCTCGCGCGCGCGTGTGTGTGCGTGCGTGCGTGTGTGTGTGTGTGTGTGTGTGTGTGTGGGAGCGTGTATGCGCATATTGAAAGTTGGTCGATGAGAGCTCTTGGGGGGACTGTTGCTCTCCATTCAGAGAGATGGTATTTCTAGATGCCCACTGTAATGCACGCATCGCTATTTCCTTGTTAATGCTGGAGCTTCATTGATCCATTGATGGTGCATTTAGTCGGCATGGCTCACTACCAAAGTCGGGGGACTAAAACAGACCAGGCACTAAAGCGAGTGTCCTGCAGGGCTATTCCTGAAGAATTTCTACTGGTCATCAGCTGTCGGCATAGTATAATGAGGAAGGTTGAATCTTACTCTTAGAGTAAGATTCAAACTATCTGCTGATGAGGAAGGATGAACTTTATTCTTCGAGCAAGATTCAAACTATCTGATAATGAGGAATGATGAATCTTACTCTTAGATAAAGCCAGATATTTTGACCCCTGGAGGGGCCCAGCCTTGCAAGCCAGATATTTTGACCCTTGGAGGGGCCCAGACTTAGAAACTATAATTTTTTTCTCCTGGAGGGGCCAAGCCTTAAGAGCAAGATTGATTTGATCCCTGGAGGGGCCTAGCGTTAGAGGCCAGATGTTTTGAACCTTGGAGGCGCCCAGCCTTAGAAGCCATTTTAACCTCTCTACGGTCCCAGGCTTAATATGAAATATTTTGACCTCTGGAGGACCCCAGGCTTAGCATCAAACGTATTGATCGCCCAATATCAGCCCAGGCTTAATGTCAAATATTTTGACCCCTCGAGGGGCCCAAGCTTAATATCAAACATTTCGAGCCCTCGAGGTAGGTGTGTGGGTATGTGTGGATGGGTCTGAATGAATATATCTACGCGCATCTGGATATATATCTATAGATATTTTATATATTCATATCTATCTATGAATATATATATATATGCATATATATAGAGAGAGATATATATATAAATATATTCATATCATGAAAATTTTCAAGACAATCCGCACGAGAACGCAACTTTTCATCAATATTTTCGAGACGCTCCGCACGGGAGCGCGATTTTCGTCAAAATTTTCAATACGCTCCGCACAGGAACGCGATTTTGACCAAAACATTCAGGACGCTCCGCACGAGAACGCGATTTTGATGAAAAGAGAACGATCTGGAACGGATCAATTTGATCTAGAATTAGCATAGAAATCGTTCCTAAACGATCAAAATTTAGATATCGAATCCGATGAATCCTATTCCAAATCTATATCAAGATATCTCCCCAAGAACCTCCTCTTGAGAAGATAAATCGACGAAATTTCGAGGATATCTCGAATAAGAACGCGATTTTTGAAGATAAATCATTTCAATTTTCAGGAGGCTCCGTACGGGAACGCGATTTTGATCAAAAGAGAACGATCTTCAACGGATCAATTGGATATCGAATTGATATAGAAGTCATTCGTTAAACGATCAAAATTTATCGACGATTCTTATTCCAAATCTATATCAAAACGTCTCTCCCTAAATCTCCTTCTTGAGAAGATAAATCGACCAAATTTCAAAATATTTCGAATGAGAATACGATCTTTGAAGATACGAAAATATTCAGAGGCATAAAAAAATCAATTATCTCGTATGAGAGCGCAATTTTTGATATCTCTATAAAATTGGAGACCTCAATTTTTGAGGGCATCTCGAACGAGAACGCGATTTTTGAAAATCAGGAAATCGTCCAATTCATTTCAACCCCGCTCTAGCAAATCTCTCTCAAATAATCTGGTCTTTCAATTAGCTCCATCATAGATATGAGAATATTCAATTTTTTGAGCATATCTCGAATGAGAACGCGATTCCTTAAAAAAAACGGAAAAAATCCAGAATATTTGCAAGAATACGCTGCGGCTGCCGAGCGACGACGCATCGGAAATAATTAGAATCTCATTTTAGATATGGAGAATAAATAGAATATTCGAATATATCTAGAAAGAAATATTTCATCAAATAAATATATTCTCATATAAATTTCATATCTATCTATGAAATCATTTATATATAGAATATCGAATAAAAAAAGATAATAATTTAAGAATCTATAAGACCTTCTATATTTATTCCGATATTAATTTTTTCAAGAAAATATCAATTCTCTAAAATAGATTTTATCATTTCCGATATTATATATATATTTATCAATAATATGAATCAATAATCATATAATGAAGTAATTCCAAAAAAAGAATTTCATCATCTCGAAAATATCCAATAGAATTTAATCTATTTTTAATTTAGAAAAGGAAGTATATATAATTTATAAATCTATAAAGTTGAGAATAATTGATGCATAATGACGATAAAAAGGAGAATAAGATTTAGGAAATGAGAATTGAATCGTCAAAATCGAGATAATTGAGTATTATTTCTTATGAAAGGTATTTGATTCTCTTTATCGTTCATATCTTCTTATTTTCATTCAATTCGATCTAATTAATAGTAAGTTGTTTATGCTTATAACGAAGATATCATATCTTTCGTTTGTCATCGTTATGATAGAATTTGAAATAAAATAAGAAGATTTTCAAATTGAAGATCCTAGAGAAAAAAGATATTTATATTCTATTGATTTCAAAGAATATATAAATTTCTGAAAATATGATAATAATATTTTCGATCTAAAATTAATAGCTATAATCTTCTCTCAATCGTAATTAAAAGAATATTATCTCTCATATATAAGGAAAGGAAATTTCGATTCTAAAGAAATGAATATAAGAATTATTATTCGATATATATTTTTGATATCTAATATTCATATAATTGATTAAATATATATATATTCTGATTTAAGGTAATATATATATATTTAAATCTATTGAATTTGTGATAATTCGATCCTAATTGAGAAAATATCAAAGAAACCTTGTTTCTATATTTATGAATCATACTCGAAATCTATATATAAATTTCCTCAATCTGAGTAGGCTAAGGTTTATCTTCTATATTTCCAATATCTTTTCATATATTGTAGGTTGAAGAGCATTCGATGATTATATATTCGTAATAGTTTCGTAATTTTATCTGATATACGCAAATCTTTGTTTTTCGATTCATACCAACCCTAGAAATAGAAAATTAACGAATTACTTCAAAATCATAAGGATAAATACGTTCAGCATTGCAAAGAACACAAAACAACCCAATTTAAAATCTAAGCAACAAATGAATCTATAAGTTATCGCTCCCATCATTCTAACGTATTTATATTACGATGATATAACTGTCGTAATTACTTGAATTCTCTGACTATTCTTTATTTTCGGCCTTGTTGCCATTTCTGATTTTGTTGTTATCATTGGAAATGTAATATTTGGCCTCCACCAGCTTTTTCCCCTCAAAGTTTTGAGAGGCGGTCCACGGGAAACGGAATATCTTGAGGGCCATCATAGCTCTATGATACCCCTGATGATATTAGTAATGGGATTTCTGTCCCATCTTAGCAGTGAACAAGGCCCCGCCGTTTCCATAGGCATTTTGGATCCATACGAGAGAGGGTGGTTTGACGTTTGACGTTTGACTGCCAGATGGTTATTATTGGCCCTGGAGCAGCTTCATGCCCACCTCGACAATGTCAGGCAAGTGCCTGCTCTCATCGTCGTCCTCAACCTGGATCGTTTAAGGTTTTGGTTTGCAGGGGGCTGAGTGTCGGGATCATGGTCCGAACAAGGACTAGAATGCGCATCTCGTGATTCATGAGATAAGAAAAACCTTTTCAACAATGAGGTATATTGTCACTGGGTCTGTACTGAATGTCGTGAAAAAGTTTGGTCTGAACACGAAAGAACGTGTACTCCTGTTTGCCTCCAGTACTCAGAACGTTCCACTCGTCCTCGCCAAAATGTGTATGAAAAAAGGGTGATGCTACAAGTGATGTCGAACGATCCTGATTCAAGCAAAGCAGCAACACTTCCGGCCCAAACATAGAATTGGGGAGGGATATCTCCGAGCTGCTGCAGCACGATCTCTGCGTCTTTGAGTGCAGATTGAACCTAGGGGTGGCGGCGTTTGCAGCATAGGACTTGGTTCAAGGTTTAGGGTCTGCAAGATTTGGGCAGCAGATGTGACCTTAATTCAGTCAAGCATGTGCTCGGACATGTACGACAGAAAACCGACCGGCAAGACAGGGGTCTTTTGGCCAAATTTGCTGAATCTTAGGGGACGGGAAAACCATTTTTAAGGGGCTCTTTGTATGGTAGTTGGGCGCCGACTACGGGCTCACCTTTATGGGCTTGAGACAGCAACGACTATGATTGTTGCAGTTCATCTCGTGTGAACCCAGGCTTGGCGCCAACCCTTAATTAGCAAGACTTTGAACAGCCCCGCCTGGACAGGGCCGGGAACCCACACTTCCTCGAAAGTTGGTGGTTGACGGAGCTGACGCACGTCAATATCTACGTCCACACGGTTGCTTCCTCTGTTCCTTATGGTGCAGAGCTCAGGGTGCAGGGGTCAGGCGAGGGTCCGCGACAAGCGGGATCTTGTAGCATCTTGCCAGTTCCGCTAGTGTCTCGAAGCACTACACTTAGCAAACAGTTTCTTACAGTAGTGGATCTCGGCAAAGAGGAACGAACCGACAAAAGTTTCTTTCCAACGTTAGCTTCGCGACTTGAAAATCAGACATTGGCCTTCCACAAGATGTAGCGCGCACCAGTAGAACCTGAGCGGTATTTTTTTTGGGGGGGAGAGGGGGGGGCTGGAAGTTCCTTGTTTTGGGCCGTGGAGTGAAGGCTTCACCCAAAGTCGACACTGACCGGATAGGGGTTTAATTGGCTTAGCACTTCATGTCCTGTGATTTAGGTTCTGGAAGCCTAAGTCGGGCCACCCCTACACAGTTGGATGCCCCTACCTCTCCATCAGATTAGGGTTGTTTAGGCCCCTTGTCAACCTTTACAATGCCAATGCTGACGCCAGCGAAACAAAGCGAAACCAGGGCCAAGAAGCGTGTTCTTTGCGGTTGCCCATGTCAGGCAAAGCCAGTTAGAGGCATCCCCCAGCTGCACGCACAAGAACACTTCTTGCCTGAACAGAGCTTACTTCACAAGGACTGGGAAGGATATGCAAGCACAAGAACTTCTGCTTCAGATCTATGGGCTCGAGAACAGGGGATCTCTGATAAGAGCCTGACCTCTGCAAGGCCCCATCCAAGTTTAACAGATGTGTACACAGTGCCTTGTAATCAGAAAAAGGTTGGCTGTAGCAAGCAAAACGAAAACGATTTGGAGCATGTGGGTTTGCACTTTGTACCACGACGTTTGAAAAGGTTTCCATTGTGCTGCCAAGTTGCCAATGGCCATCATACATTACTGCTGCAAACTTCCCAGCCTCCGCAAACAAGGCATCAGATCTTGCTCTGGCACGGAGTTGATTCTTTGTGGCTTCTAGCAGTTGCTAAACCTCTGGACCTACATGCTGAAACCCTATGGATCACCCTATCATCCGATGCCAAAAGCTGTGCAAATGCCTCCGGCAGCACGATTTCCCGGTTGACATCATGGCAATGGCGCAGCCACGGCTCCTACAAGAGTGGCTTGTCATAGGCTTGTTCGGACGGGGACTAACTGGAAGAACGCCTGCAACAAACAAGGCCAGAGAACAAAAGGTGAACTTTCGCAGTTAGTGTTGATATTCTCGCTTTAATCGTGGTTCAAACGGACTTCCTCCTCTCAGGCCTTCCTCGACTGGCCCGTACTTTTCAAAACTTGGAGTACAAAGTGCAAAGACCTGGGAACTCTTGCCCCAAGCCAGCTGACGTTGGCACTGCCACAAGAAAGGATAAACAAGCGACATGTACAACCAAAGAAGCAGTCAATGCCGGGCATTCGTGGGTTTGGCGGTCCGGGCTTGCAGCTGTTTCAGTCGATCAGCTTGTTCAACGCGATGCAGCGTCCGATTCGCCTTTTGATGTGCAAATGCTCGGCGACATGTATGAGGCAAAATAACGGCATGGGCTTCTATATGGCTAGCCATGCTACCTAATATTCTGTAACATTGATGCCGTGGCTTTGGCTTTCTAAGTAAAGACCAAGGATTGCTGAACAAGTAGAAGGGCGATCATGACAATGGGGGCGGACAGACAAGCTAGAAAGAGCAACACGAATTAGCAACAGAGACATGAAGCATCCAGGAAGCGCCAGGAACAGAACGCGTGGATCACGGGAAGCAAAATGAGAGCAACCTAGTGATGCGACGCACACGTTCCACACCCCCGCATCATGCATGATAACAATGTGGGAAGCCGGCAGCCATGAGCCGGTGAACGTATTTGCGATGCAAACGCGCGGCCTCATTCTTGATTCTAAACGTCTTCGGGCCACGAGCCGTTGGTGAGCTTGCAAAAAGTTTTCTGGATGCATCCCTTTCTGCTTGGGGTGCCTTGACGATTCTGCAGCTTGTGATCATGGCCGTCAGCTGTCCACGCACCCTGGTTTGGCTTGGAGGGGACTTCTATGGGAATCACCAATGAATTCGGAACTCGTGTCAGGAGCAGCGTGGGCGCGACTGAGCAAAGAAAACTTCGAGGCTTGCATCGAGGTTGCTTCTTCGCTCCATGGGCCTGGCGCAAGACAACAACACAGGTGGTTTACGCATGCCTTCCACGGCAAGCGGGAAAAACCTCGAATATGGGAAGACTGCAGGGATGCCGAATTGGCTACGACTAGGTTCACGGTGGATCTGCAGAAGTATGTTCTGCAAGAAGGCATCACCAAAAACGACCAGTGGATTGCGCGACCAGAAAATGGCCAGCGCATCGACTTCCTTGAAGTTGCTGGTTTGGCCATTGTACATGTGGATGATTTCTCTTCTGTGCATGCGCAAGGATCATTGATGCTCGGGCATAAGCAATCGAGAAGATCCGGAAAACTGGAGGTTTTCAGATCATTGGCGATGATCAGACGCTGCATTTTCTGGGAATTGAGATTTCTGAAATGACGGATGGACATTGCTTGGGACAGCGCGTATATCGAAGAGTTGGCTCGTTTTCATGAGCTGCCGGAGACGTCGTTAAATCTCGTCCCTGTTCCTCGGGATTTGGCATCTTCGAGCCTTCGCCAAATGCTGTCGCGACGGATGCTGAGGTCCTAGCATGCAGCAGCTTGCCGGCGAGCCTTGAGCGGAGCGGAATCGACCTGGTGTTGGATTTGCTTGTTCTTTGGCTGCGTCTTTGTCTACAAGGGATCCTCGCGTGATGCTGCAAGTTGGGATGAACACTTTTTTGAGATGATGATAAGCTGGGTGATAAAGTTTGTGGCCGATGATACTGGACCACAATCTTTTATTGATGCTTCCTTTGCTCCTGATAGCGTTTCTTCGCATCAAGGCTTACTGGTTATGCTGTATGGATGCCTGATAACGTGGATAAGGCAACGACGCGGCAGAAGCTGAACCGTCGGCTCAGATGGTGCATTGGTTTTGATCTCCCATGGCGAGATGGCTCGTGAACCTGGCTTGATTGGTTTTCGGAAGCAGCATAATAGGAGCGACGGCATCCCCCCAAAAAGGCTTCGTGGCTCCAAGAACACTTACAAGCTGTGATCCCGAGTTGGGCCGCGTGGATGGTCTTCGCCAATCTGCTGATTTGCTGACAGAGGCTTTGCCATCTGCATGTATTCAACAGCTGGTCAGCCTGTCGGGTTGTGGTAACTTCGCTGCGATGACTCCGAGTGCTGGAATGCGGCGAAAAACAGTGCGTGTTTTGTAGTGATGTGGTACATATATACATATATATATAGGTGGCAAAAACAAACGCTGTGTCATGCTGTATCAGATGATGATTCAACTGCATGTTTGCGTTTGGGTGTGGATTTGGCATCTGCAATGTTTCTGTTGCCGCCGATAATGAGTGTTCTAGCTCCTTGCTAAATTCTGAAGCGGTTCGGATATAAACTGGTTGTGACGTGGACGCCTGAAGCTGGTGCAAGGAAAGTATGTGAACTGAAGAAGCTGCGAGACGTTACAAGTCCGGCAATTGAGGCTGAGGTGCGCTGTGCTTGTGAGTCCGCCCCGCCAAATTGCTTCTTGCTCGCAAGGGCGCCAACTCGTCTTCCTGAGCAAACCTCATCGCCGTCAAGCAGACTCCGCCGCCACAACCAAGGCCAAGGACTCAGCCGCGTACAGTCCGCAAGGGCATATACAGCGCCAGGTCAGGTGATGCTCTGCCGCCACCTCCGCCTTTTCCTAGTCTTGCTCGCGAGCCGCGTGTGGAAGTGATCAACAACTGTGTGCAGGAACTGCCTCCAGAGACACCAAGCCGCCGGATGAGACCGGTATTGCACAAGCTGTTTGTGGCAAAGTAATCCCTTCCCCCTAATATTCAACCCCCCTTTCAACCCCCCTTATACTCAAAGAATCAGGAGCCCGAAAAGCCTGAAGACTCTGAAGACAAGACTCTGAAGACTCTGGGACCACATGGGCCATATATTCATGAATTTGGATGGTTCTGAAGTCATTCGGGAGGTATGAGGAATCCAAAGGAAGTAGGGATCTGCTTGATTTCATGAAGGAGCTTGCATAAAAGAACCTATGGGGAATCTTGTGGGAATGAGGATGCCCTTGACACGGATTTTTCTTTCTTTGATACTGTCTTTAGAAAGGAAATTATATGAAGGAACACTACACCCTTAATCCCAAACCCTTAACCCTCCCTCCCTCCCTCTCGGGAGCCTGAATGAATGCTTAGCTTAGAGGGGAGCCTGGGTGGCCCATCCAAAGGGGCTATGAACAATTACGAAAACATCTTGCCTGTAGATCCTAAATAATACAGTAGACCCTAAACCCTCCATCCCAATTAGAACTTAAACCCTCTTAGTTAGCAATTCTAAGGCCATCCCCCCAAAAGCTGGCCCCCCAAAATGCCTGCCTCACCTGGCTAATCTGACAGCTTGGCTGGCTGGCTGGGGCTTAAAGCAGAGGAGCAGCCAGGAGAGCGTTTTTGAGAGACCCTTATCGATATCTGCTCGGGATTAGGGACCGCCTTTATGTCCTAGGAGGTATTCATCCCTTTCATTTGTTTTCATAAGGGCATTAATATAAAAGAACTTAAGGGACTCTTGCTTGGAATTCAGGACCTCCTTCATTTGCTAGGTTTCCTGTTTCATTTGTAACGAGCCTAGAGGATGTCTTCTCGAAATTGGGGACCTCGTTGATTTGCTAGACTTCCATTGCGTTTCACAGGTTTTTCATAATCAATTATCAAATACCTAATTCTTCATCATATCATGTAGTAGACTAATCTCAATTGATGAACTCAATTACTAATTAATGTAAATACATAGTCGGCATTTATATCCAATTTCTTCAAGTCCAGCAGACACAGCAAGCGTAGCGTGCGCTAACCAAACTCTGTAATCGCTTCCCCCTAATCTTAAACGACGTCCCCTAAGATTAGATAATGTGGGGCCCATTTTTTTCATTTTAGGGGCGCTTGTTTATTGAAAGAACCAGATAGGGCTGCCTTCAAAATCCTTTCTAAACCGCATGGAAACTGAAGAATCAGTGAGGTCTCCCTGACAGACCCAACCTTCTTGAGTCCTACAAGTTAAGCCCCTAACACTGGGAATCCCAAACCCCATCAGTCGGAGCGAAGCCTTAACCACCTAGACTCTGAATGCCAACCCAAGTGCAGGCAAGTCAATAACAGGCAGATCAATAACATTCAATAACCATGTGTGTGGGCACTCATGACATGTCGCGGTCGCTGTGTTTCTGTGGACGAGAATTCTTCTGGATGCGGCTCCCTCCTGTGCCCAACTCGGAGGCCCACTCGCTGGCTCATGCTCATATATGCTCATGGCTTGTTGGTTCCTGGCTCATGTCCAAGCATGTCCAAGCCTGTTCCTGACACCCAGACTCCGCACTGGTGTTTTCTAAGCTCGAGTCTGTAGCTGTTCCCTGCCGCAGTGTTCCCGACACGACGCTGTTGCATCTTTCGCGAATGCAGCGGTGTCTTTGTGCCTTGGGAGCCTCTGGCTCTCGAAGTTGGAAACAGTCTTTGAGCGATGTATCAACGGGTATTCGAGGCGGGCGTGTGTGCTGGGTTGGCCTGCACAAATGCGGCAACGCCAGGAAAGCTCATCCAGCAGCAAACGAAGCGAAACGGAACCACTTCGACTATAATGCCACGAAGCATACCGTGGTCCGAAATGTGTTAACAAACTGGCGATCTTAAAGGAAGCTCAGGCTTTAAGTCACAAACTCGACCAAGAAAAGGTGAAGCTCCGTGTCCCACGCTGCAAGGTGCGGCAAAAGAACAGACCAACCGGAACATGCACCAAACCATGCAAGACCAGCAATGCTCCTAAGTCTTACCAATGAAAAACATCAACCGCCAAGGCATATGTCGCGCTAGCATCACAACGGCGGCGGCAGCAGCAGCAGCAAGGAGGAGCAGCAGGAGGAGCAATGGGAACAAGGATGGAATTGCCACACCTCAGCTTGGTGCTGCTCCTGCTGCCCCGCAATGCAGTAGGCCTCTTCAGGTATGATCCCGATGCCCGCGAGCAGCGCGTTGGCCTCCTGGTCAATGGCCTTTAAGTCTGATGGCACCCAGGGCACGTAGGCCTCGCTTGCATGAACTTGCATGTCCAAAGCTGTAACGCATGTTGAGTAGCAATCGTGTATTAACCCCCTTGTTTCAACGTATTACTTTTGTCACCTCCGCCAGTGTGCTTACAAATCTTGCCTGTTTGAAACAGTTCGGGCCTTCGGCCAGGAGTCCTCCAATGATGGCGACAACTCTTGCGGCCTTAACTTACACTTACCGATGTACTTCCTTCCCCCTGGAATGACCATGTATTCAGAGCCAAGCTTGCAGGGTGAACCAGTTTGAGTTCGTCCTGAGCTGATAACTGACGAATGTAGTACTGAATGACAACGAAACTGTGGAGCGTAAAACAGGCTCTCGGTAGGCTGTCGGTTACTCTCTTGGTAGACAAGGCACCTGCATCAGAAACAAGACTATGCTGCCAAACGGTTACATTGCAGATATACACCATAGGAACTGCTGCTAGATTCCAAAGGTCCTCGATTGGAGCGCGGCATAATAGGAGGCATCACAAAACTTTATCCATATTCACTCTTGAAGATTTGCTCTGCTGTAGCTGCTCCTAGACAGCAATGCTTCTGCACAACCTTATGTAAAGGCGCTGCGGCATGCAGGGTGTCTCCTTTGGGACCCACACAAAGAAAAGCTTCGTCCATTCCTATCCTTAGTGAATACCCTGAATGACAAATCCAGCTTCTGGTACGGTAGGTAAACACATGTAAACACATTGTAGTGGACAAAGCTTGTGTAAGAACCCTGGATATGCTCCCACTATCTCCCACTTAACATCTACGGAAGCGATTTGTTCCGTACGTGCCCGCCTCATTGTTTTCTGTTACCATCCACCATACGTCATCTTCCATGAGGATGGGGTAGCTCCGGTCCGCATTAGCTTTCAAGAAGTAGCCGGGCTCCAAACGCACAAGACTCCACCTCAGCTTGCGAACTGAAGTGCCTCGACGGATGAACTGACGGTGCTTTCATAAAACAGGAACCCTCAGGGCCTCGTGCCAATCACTCTTTCCCTGTTACCTCCAAGGCAGCGGAGAGCATATAGAGCAGGTTGGCTTTACCAATTTAGGGTGGGAGGTCTACTGCACATCCACCTGCTCATCTGGAGCGCATCCATTTTTTTGAACTCCCTGTCCACTGCGCGTCTTTCTTTTGAGAACTTTAGGCATTAGGGCTTTAGGGTTTAGGTTCTAGTGGGTTGAGGGTCAAATCTTCGGACATAACTACCTAATCCTTCCCCACCTTAAATTTACACACGTTGCAGACCACCGCCGCCCCCCGCTACAGGCCCCGGCTCCACCTTCGCCACCGCTCCACCACCGCCGCCGCCGCCATCACCACGACGACCACGACCGCGACCGCCGTCAACGGCACCAGCACCAACTCCCCAGCACCGCCGGTGTTCCCCAGCACCACCACCGCCGCAGCAACAAGGACGTGGACGAGGACAACAATGACTGCTAACTGTTGTACGTTCGTCAATCTCTTCTTGCAGGCCCACATAGGTGTGCATGCGCAAGTTGTTGTTCGAGCCAGCCAGTGCTTGCCATCCGACTGCGTGGCCCGAACCAGGAAAACTTCCTTAGTTGTCTAGATTCTTGCAGCTCAGTCATACTCCGTCTATGCACTGGGCCGCTCACTCTCACAAGCCATGCTAGTCCAAACCAGGTATCTACTTGAGCTGAAGGAAGCTTCCACTGTGGTCGTGGCGCTCTCATTGGCGTTGTCTTGTTCATTCCTAAAACCAATCCAAGTTTGGGCACTTTGTGCGCCTTGCAAGCCTGGGGAAGGAAGAGGGTGCGGGCTTTCGATTTTGAAATCGACCCGCGGTTATTGCCCTCCCAACAAAGCAGCATAAAGCAGCAACGCCCATATAATGGCTGTACCGAGCTTCTTGCCAGGTGCCTCCGAGGAAAAGCACATAGAAGCTCCCAGCTTCAGGCGTTGGCGGTGGCAAATAACCAATCCTGCAAAGCTCTGAAGCGCCAACTCAACTCTTCAATCTCTTTCCACGAATGCATTGCTGTTCTCAATATCAAGGACACCCCTGTAAGACAGTAGCAACCTGAGCAGGAGTCTTTCTCGAAGACTCGTATAGCCCAACTTCGATTACGTGCTTCTAGACCAAAGCCAAAAGAGTTTCAAAACCAGCGAGCATCAAAGAGGGAAGAATTTGCGACGGGCCACCGGCGGCAACCACGGCAGGCACGGGAATGTTACCCAGCCTACGCGTTTTTTGGTTTGCCGGTTGGGCCTTCACGTTGGATGCATGAGGCTGCCTAATTGACAGCATCATCACGTCTTCATTTCTACATTGCTACCAGAAATGGCGACCTACGTGCCCTCAGTTCACGTGGTTCTGAAATTTTCCAGTTGCAGGGTCATGGTCTAAACTTGGTAGGACCTTTCCCTCCTCACACTACAAGACACTGCCACAGGCGCTGAACTCTGTTGCAGCTCCCGCCTAAGGTTCCCAGACATGCCTGATGGACAACAACGTAATGTAACGTAATCTGAACGCATGCTGAAGATCTTCATGTTTCCCAAGAAAGCGAGCCGCACTGATACAGTAAGCGCCCAAGAAAACACTGAAATTACACAATACGCATCAGCTTTCAAATGGGATATGACTTGACGGAACCAACACTGTCGTTCACCATCAACTCTGATGTGGCGAGAGACGCTTTTGGACAACCCCATTGCTAGGAGCCTTGGTAGCATGGCTAACGGCTAACGGGCAATGCATCCTGTAACAAGTGTTTAGCCAGCCCGAGAAGCTGCTGGCATGTGCGCACCGCATGGTCCACAATGGCTTTACGCTTTGCAGGTCCAGGACACCACAGCTCGCGACCGCACTTGCCCTCGCAAGTCCAGTTCACCTGGTCAAATTGGAGGGCTAGACAACATGCTTGCACCTTGCAGTTTACCTGAGGGGCACAGCCTGGACACCCAGATGCTCTGACTTGGCGCTGCTTTTTTTGTAAACCTTGAAGAAACGTATTGAATTTGCTAAGATTGAAAATTCTCAGGACCCCTACCCTACTGCAAATGCTACCCGCACTTTAACACAGCAATGCGACCTGCAACCGCAAGCAGCCCCACGCCTGCTCATCAGTAAGGCCTGGATATGATCGTGCTTTGCCAATGGAGCTGGCGCAGATCACCCCTGCTTCTGAGAGCTCTACAGCAACCCAGGTGAAATTGCGCGCGAATTCCTGGGCTCAAGGGATCTTTGCGATGCATTCAGCACTGATACGCTGCCTCCATCGTTACGTTGCTTTGCTCTTGCCTGCCTCTCTCTACGGCCGCATGAAATCATGCTTGCGCCGCGCTAGGTGAGCTTGACTCGCTGCGTCTGCAAAGCAAAAAAGCCTGCCTCTCTCTGAAGTCAACAAAAAAAGTGCTCACGCCAGCATTCGTGTGAACAGGCAGACATGCGCTGGGCTGTGCCGCCGCCTTCTGTAGCAGTACCATTACTAATGAGAGCAAGATGCCCTTCGCATCCTGCAGAGACCTGCGTTACCACCCTTTTCACGAGCCTTCCGTTCTTGAAGGCTGGAGCCTCGAGCTCCGACGATGATGGAACGCTGCCACATGCTGCCACAAGATTGATCGGCTAATCCCTGAGCGCTAAAGTCTGGGCCCGTGAACTCACAGGCTTAGTCACCGGAATAGCAACAACAAGATTCAAAGCAAGAATCGTAAAAACAAAGTTCAGGTCGTAGTTACAATGAAGGCAGAGCATTACTCACCATCAACTCGGTAGTGATAGAGACGAGAGTCATGGTGGGTCGTGTAGCATAGCCAGAGCCTTCCGTCCCCTTGAGGGAGGCCGGCTCCGAGGAAGACTTCATGCCATTCACCACCACTTGCCTCAAGCACTTCTCGTCACGTATCAAACTGTTGAAAGACTCAAAGGAAGGCTACAGTGACGATGATCTTCATGTTATCGTAATTGCAATATTTGCAATGTTCACACAAACCCAACCATGAGCCAGGATCTTCCTCTGCTCACTTTCTCTTGCCAAACCTGGAACGGGGAGCGCAGAAAACAGCACGGTCGCGTGAACCGCAGCCCATTGTTTGTTTGTCTGTTTGTCCTGGTCCCGAACGCGAACGCAAACGCCCTGCACCTAGACTCTAGACTCTAGACATCGAAACGCGATCAAGCCTGCGTACAGGATCACTAGCAAAGGCAGCGGTAGCAGCAGCAGCGGCGGCGGAAGCTTTTAGGAGGTCTGCATGGGAGGTGTTGAGATGTTCAGGAAAACTCAAAGCCCAACACGTGTGTTTGGGCGATTTCTCTGGAGGCCTGGGCTATGTAGGCTGCGCAAGACCAACTGCCTGCACAGCATGGTTCGGCATGCCTTGGACGCCTTTACGGCCTTGGCAAAAACTGTCCGCGCTACAAGCCAAACGCATAGTTGTTGGCATGTCTTGCAATCAGAAACCTGCACGCCTTCTCGAGACTCCCGGCCACCAGCGCCACTTTCTTGGTGTGAGGTTTTCAGAGAGGTGTCTCGACTCGCACGACCATTGACAATTGAAGGTATAACTTGGTGACCTGAAAGAGACGCACGCATGAACTGCTGGAAATACTTGCTTCTGGACCAATTTCGCGGGGGGACGTTGCTCCAACTCAGGGTGTGCGCACGTGCCAAAGCGCAGGCTTAGGCAGAGATAAACTTGGGAATGCAGGCACGCAGTCAGGCCAAACGTGTATGCAGCAGGCGGGTGCTTCAGCAAAAAGCTGCTCAGTCCGTACATGATTTGCATGGCGACAGGAGTCTAAAAAAAAAATCCTCCCGCCGAGCCCTTACACGAACCTTTTGCGGACTCATTGGTTGTTTCCGTGTGGAGCCACGTGACATTTGCTTAGCACGTGCTTCAGGATGCAATTCCACGATCTGTTTCCGTTCGGCTTTACATTGTTCCTTCCACGAGCAGAAACTGCAATCTCCGACATTCGGAGTGGATGACCGTGTCGTTGTTGCGTCAGAAGCTTTCAGGAACGCTTTCAGAAAAACATTTTGTGAACGATTCCGCATCCTTTTCCGTGCGCAGTCCCGTAATTACCACTTTTATGTCTGTTGCCAAGATTTGCTCCCCAAAAATTGCCACCTGTGTCCCCAGAAACATAGCTCAAGCGGACGAACAGCAAACATTTTGCTCGACTGCTGGGGCCGTACAAGCGTGGGCCTGCCAGGTTTCTGGGGGAAAACAGGTTCATGCAATGCAGCAGTAGGGACCTCCTCAGGAGAGGTTCGCACTGACACTTACCGCTTGTGGAGTCCCGATGAAAGGCAAAGCGGCCACAGCCTTTGAAGGTCTCTGGAGGCTGTCAGCATTGCAAGCCAAGCTATGCTAAACTGTGGGAGCTCATGGGGCATAAGCATGCTCAAGGCAATCAGGCCTGCAACCCCATCCCAATAAAAATATACGTCTCACAGAACATCCTGCTGAAAATCAAGAAAACCTTCGAACACAAGCAAGAAACGAGAAGTCCAAACCCTTGATGAGCCCAACAGCCAGGCATGAACGGTAAGGAGGGGAGGTTACTGCCTCGAGGTTCTTTGTCATAGATATGCTCCCCATCAACAGCTCTACAGTCTGGACACAAATCTCAATCACCCATTCCTAACATCCATATTCTGCTTCCCAGCCGAGAAAATATCCGCTCGACCCACGGCTCAAGTTTACTGAGCAACTCATGAAATGGTGCGGGGATGTGCAGGGCCTAGTTTCAGGCCCCTCAGCATACTTGAACTCCTATCGCGCTCTTCTTGGATAATGGACAAGTAGCTACGGCAACGAATCGACCAGGCTCCACCATGTTGAGACTGCGCAAACAAGAACGCTAGAATCTCAGGAGAAGTCACTGCATGTACAAGATAGAACGGTGGTGATGCCGGTGGTTCTGGCAGCCATAGAAAGGACAAACATGTGATGATGCACCTTGCTTGCAACTAAAACATCGTCGATACTGAGCCCAAACATCCCATGGCGGTTGCTTCTGTCTCCAGAGTCGAAGCATCTTGATAACTACACTTCCCAACTGGCGCTGACGACCAAGCCGACTCATGGATCTTAGCTTAGCATGTGTGGTAGCACGGGGAGGATAGGCGAATGGCGACAACGGACAACGGAGAGGCTTGTTGACGAATCAAGGGCAGAAAGGCTGGCGAAGGGTTGACAATATCTACTGTTATGGTGGATAGAATCCAAGCTGAACACGGTTGATAGTCCCGTCGTCAATCAAAAACGTGGTGCTGAGTATTGCTGGATATCCACCGAGAATCTGCTTGACGAATTGCTGCCGGCTATTGATAAAACATGCCAGTCGGGCTATTTTTCCGGTGGAACAAGATCCCCTTTTGTTGTCCAATCAGAGCGGCATGAGAAGAACATAAGAACATGGTAGCAGACCAATGGTTCGGTGAGGAGCGCGGATGGGCCCAGTGGACTTCAGCCTGCATACTGCGGAATTGTCACCAAACACAATTTTCAAGGAGGATTGATCTCCAAGGGTGATTTCAGGCTAAGAGTGAGACTGGTACTTTCATGAGATGGATCGACCACAATGAAAGAGTAGCTCTCGGTTGGCTGCCGGAGAACATTCTATTATTAGCCCAACAACCCAGAACCCCAAACTCGAAAACCACCTTGAAAAGCTTGAGTCGCGCTTTGAAATCGGACGCAGTTGCCAGTGGCCAAGGAGGATCAACATTAACGACCCCGGGCCCGGCTACAGAAACCTAAGTGACGAAGGGCACATTTCTCCGCAAGCAGCAGGGCTCCCACTCAAGACTGCGAGGTCTAACACTGTTCCTCATTCCACACGCAAGTGCCGCGGAAAACAGCTGTGGGACTCACCCCGCGACTGCCGCCGCGGATGCGCTCACAGAAGAGCCTGCAAGCAGAGCAAAACTTCACGGACAAACGAGCCAACAGCAAGATGCCATCCATGAAAAGGAGCTCGCAGTTGTGCTAGTACCGTCCAGTTAGCAGTAGCATGTTGGGCTTGTGGCTTAGAAGATGTGGACTTTTTAAAAATATGCTTGGGGTTTTGAAGCATGAGTGTGGGAGCTACAGTAGTCGAGGAATTTGTTTCGGCCCCATCTTGTGTCTTTGTATCCTTGCAGACGCTTTTCTTTCAAACTCATTCTCGCTCGTTGATGGTGCACATGGATATGTGCCAAGATCATGGCATCCTTCTACAACTCCAACAGTCAGTGAAAAAAAGGTAAGTCAGGTAAGTGCTTCGGATGCTACACGTTGGTCTCTTGCACGAGCTGGAAGCAATTGCTGCAATCGCTCAACCTTCGCTACAACATAGCTATGAAAGCTTTAGTTGCCAACAACCTCACACGCTGGAGGCTGCGCCTATCGTATAGTGCAACAATCTTGGTCCGGCTTGACAACTGAAATTGTCGCAAACCTGCATTTTCCCGCATTGAGAAACTTGCATGTAACGCTTGGCACATGTTGCCTTCACATATTTTCAGGCCAAGCCCCACTCCCCGGAGCTCCAAATGCTCAGGCAATTGGAACTTCATATCGAGCTGTTTAGAAGTGAAGCCGGAACGCAAGCCATCAATCCCAACCAGCCCGCCGCCTCAAACACAAGAACTTGAGAAGAGGGACGTGAAAGCTAGAGGTGGCGGGGGGAGCGATGATTCAGAAGAGTGGGCAACCTGAAGTCTATGTGGCTCTACACAGGTTGCAGCACGTGGCCGAAATTCTTTGAAGTCAAGAGCATCTAGGACGTACAGACTAGCGTCTAAGGCAGATGACTCCCATGACAGGGACAGTCCTCAAAGGCTTGCAGCTAGAATAAAACTGACACCCCTCTCAGCATTATTTAGCGGGCTAAGGGGGACAGGGGCACCTCGCCTGAGCTAGGCCCACCCCTGCGGCCCCTTAATTATTCCCTGACTCAGCGTCTCACCCGCCGAGAGAACTGTAAACGACGACTAGCGTGAGGGAGCTCTCACTTCGTCTGAACCAACCAACGGAAAAATCTAATGAGGAGCTTTCGTCTGCCATATTCGCTCTCGGGGTAACCACACCTGTGCAACCTCGTGTAAGGTCCGGGCGTAGGGTTAACACAGCCCTGATGTCCTCGATTCCCTCAAGCCTGAGAAGAAAGAAGTCGCATGTTCGTATCTGGGTTTGGCCTCTGGGCTGAAACATGTCCTGACTTATTCATGGGACATCCTACGTTCTTCAATCCATCTTGCTCAGGACGAAAGGCGAGAATAAACAGGAACAACACTTGAGAGGTTCGGATGCCCCGGATTTTTGCAGGATTGAAAACTAGGAACGTGCACGTGTATCACGTAAGAAGCACCAGATCGTCTTGCCAGTCAAGACACGGCATTGTATGTTTTATGGCCGGGCAGGGTGTGCTGATGCTATGATCAAGTCAGAAAAGAGGTGCTTAAGACAGGGCTCCTTATTGACGGCTTATGTGACTGTCGATGTGCCCGCCAATCAATTCGCACGGCCTTGCATCCATGGAATATGTTCGCACCAGTGCTCCGGCCGAGGGCCCGAAGAAAACACTTCTGTAGCAACTTTGAAACATACACATCACCGGCTTGAAATGACTGAAACAAGGATCTTGGCGTTGGACCCTCTTTAAGCTTGGAGCCGACCCCACAACCATTAGGGGGTCAGAACAAAATAAGGACCCTCAAACAAGCGCAGGGTCTGGGATGGTCTGGATTCTGCTAGCACCCCCACAATCAAACACGTTATAGGGGGCCAGTTTCGTGTGAGCGCAACAGACATCACAAGCATCACCCCTAGTGAAAGCTAAGCACCTGAAATCTGATGGACTTTCATGGCCTTATCTGTAAGCGGTGCAAGATCTTCACTTCAGCGGATTGTTGCGGGCTCTGTTGTCTGGTCAGTTTTCAAAGCTGTCTGGATTCCTGCCCATGGTCGGATAACATATAGACTGAAGTGTAAGTACTGGCCACAGCAGCAGGCATAGCAATACTAAGTAAGGTCTACAACACTCCCAAATCCAGAAAGATCCATACCTATTTCAAGCTGGGGGGCGTGAGCTGCATGCCGTTCATCATGCCCTTGCCTGACTGCAACTCCTGAGTGCCGCGGGCTGTCTGCAGACCGAACTACTGCCTGTTACTTCTAGCTTCTGCAGCTCTTTCGAGCTGTATCCCTATTGCGAGCATGTTTGTTCCACTTGCATGTTCTTTTAAACTCATGCCTGCGGCATAGCTTCTACTGCATGCCAAAGAGAAGACTGTGCGCTTTGGGCTTGAGAAAAGGATCTTGCCTTCTTCAATGGCAAGGCAGCCTTACTAAAGCTTGCTGAAATCAGGTCTTCTGTTGCTTGGATCGGTACCTTTGAACCTGTTTGCAAGGATCTTGGAATCTGCTGACGTAATGTCTCGGGCACATCTACTTGTGAACCAGCAAATCACGGAAGACGTACATTGTACGATACGGAAGTGTCTGGGAATCTGGCAGCCCTGTCTCTGATCATAATCTTGTCCATTGGTGCTGCTGAAAGGCTGAACTAAAAGAGTGGCCCCAACAGCTGCCTTCAACTCATGTAAGGTTAAGCCTTGCTTGAGAAAGAAGCCTTTCTTTCCAGGAGCACTCCCTGATGGCATCATGCAGTTTAAGGTAACCATAGGTTGTTAAGTTTCAAAAAGAGAGCAAACGTTGGCCGAGGCTCGACCCACTTCCGGCCGGCATCGCACAATCGCGCTTTCACTTCCTCGCCTGAATTAGGCTTTGTTTCTTGTCCAATGTTGGACTGGACCTGGTGTCAGGATCGGGGTGTCCATGTATGTCCATCAAACTTAGCCCTGATGAGAAGGACTGGAAACCACGAGGGCTATTGGAAAATTTGCAGGGTGGGCATTGGAAAAGGACTTGCGAATGCGGGGTCTGCGGATGAGCTGACAAAGTTGCAACAGTGGGCTCACCAATGAATTTTCAGTTTGGGTCAGGGCTCGGTTCGAGATACCTTCGCAGGCACAGGATGATGCCGGTCTTGTTCTGGGAGTATACAAAGGTAAGAACGACCTTGACTGTTATCGGCTCCCTGGGCCACAGCCCAAAACAGGTGTGCTCACCCGCCCAGCAAATGGCCCACAACTCTGGACAGTAAACCTTTTCAGGCATCAGCATGTCAAAGATTCCTGTCTGCCTTCTATTTCGGTGATTTCAACCAGACCCAGCTCGTATCTGCTTTGACAAAAAAGCACGTGTGATCTTTCCTGCATTCTATTGTTTGTTGACGAGATTTCGGTGTACTGCGGATTTCCGTGAAGGATGTCCGTGAGCGTCCGGCAACCAATGCTTCACAAACTAAATCCAAAGCCAAAACCCTGACCATGAATCAACTCAAATTTAAAACCAGAACAAACAAGTTGGGAATCTTTGGTCACCAGCCACGCTTGCCGATCTCTACCCTAAACAAGCTTCACAACCCTCGTTCCATGCTTTGAAACTTTGGGCCAAATCTCCGACAAGCTCTATGCCGGACATGGCAAGCCTGTATTACGCGGTAAATGTTGGCAGCAACCTCGATCCAATTGCACGTTTTGCAGAACCAAGGATAGCTCACAACGGATTACCTGGCGTTGTGAATTCAACCTAGGTCACCTTCAGGCCTTTCCTCAATTGTAAAGTGGTCTCAGGGGAGGCTGCAAAATGCCAAAGCACTTGGACACCACAGCGTGCCACCGAAAAGTGTGCGAAGTTGCTTGACCTGTTCAGCAGAGGACCCGCCGTGACTCACCAGCTTCAAATCTCTACACATATTTGGGAGGTTGCTCCCTCAGAAGCCTTTGACTTCATTTGCCCTTGACCTCGTAGAGCGGCCGTCATGTAACGGATCTTTGAGATCCTGGAACTGACAATCTAGCCTGCTTCAAGACCTCCACCACCACCACCACCACCACCACCACCACCACCACCACCACAACACTACCAAGCCCCCGACCTGCCGTGATGGCAGCAGCCCGGGCGCCTGCCGACTGGGCCCTTGTCCTTCCAGTCAAGTGAGGCTCCACTCACATATAATAGTTGACTCAGTAAATCCAAAACTGCACGTCCCATACGGAATGCAGTGAAGCTCATCATCTACACGCTCAAGTCAAGCGAGCCTCAAGTGAGGGCTGTTGAAGTTGAAGGTGATACGCACGAGGTCTCAGCTTGGCTGCTGCTGGAATAGGCTGGAAAATGCATCAGCTCTATGAATTCTGACTTTGACTTTCAGCCCGCGTCCTTCTACATTCAGGAAGGTTCCTGGCAAGAAATCAACCAGCATCCACTGGAAGGAGCGAGTAGCGTTTGCTGCGCAGCAAACCCACCGCGGCCTTGGACTGACATGAGGGTTGATTCAAGAAGAAGCGCGGTGCCTAAGAGTGAGAACTGCTAAGGAAATCCCAAGCCAGGCCTATGCCCTCTAATTACTCCACCAAGCCCTCGCCCACACCTTTGACGAGAATGCCGCGAATAGCTCCATGTTCATGAATAGCCCGACTCATACTTAGGTCGACCACTCTACTCCGCTGAGCTCTTACTGTTGCATTGGCAAAGCGCCCTTCCAGCTGCGCGCATAGGAGCACCTCAGGGTTGCCCTACACCCATGACAAATGCAAAGAATTCAAAACCATGTTGTGATGCAGGAAGGTCAGAGGGCATGCTCCAATCATGCGTCATCAATACTGATGGTGTCCGTCAACATTATATCATTCACCACTGCCGGCATCCGGCTGATGTGCAGTGATGGTACTATGGACATTTTTCAAGCAGACCAGATCTAAGTGTTGTTGATTGCATGGCCCTCTGCAACAAGGATGACGCACATAAATCGAATCGTGCATGGCTCAACTGAAAGAATCAGACGGTCACTCCAGGACTCGGGGGTTGGGACTTCGGGACTCATGTAGACTAGGCCTTTGGTGGGAGGCGTTGAGGCGTGGAAGGGATGTCTTCTGATTACCACGATGTCACCTTCAGCATAAGAACTGCCCTTCGTCATACCCAGAATCCGCTCAGCCTAACTCCGTCGCACTTTAGCAGGATCAGTGAATCCAAAATGATTAAGACTAAGAAAAAGACAGCTTTGAGCTTGTGCACATCCAACCTCTGTCCAAGTCCCATCCTGGTACGTCAACGCAAAGTCACCCATCTGGAGAGGATCTGTGTGCTCCACATGCTTTGACAGCACAAGCATCTTTGAGTCTCCCTCTCCCTGGGCACAGTAGTGGATCTCATGAAAATCAGCCAGCGTTGAGACATCGTGAGAAATGCTGAGGATGGCCGCATCGCTGGGAAGCGATTGGCGCAATGTGTTGTACATCTTGATCGTGCCGCTCTTGCTCATGTTGCTGGTGGCTTCGTCCAAGAAGAGAAGCTTTGGTTTCTGAAGCAGGACATGCGCAAGCGCCAGTCTCTGCCGCATTCCTGGGGATGTTCGAAGCATCCAATTATCTTCGCGATCCAAGCCCTCACCCTGCGGCGGCTCATCTTCATTGTCCTTCATTCTGGTTGAAAACGTGACAAAACTTACCACTCTCTGTGCCAATGCAATTCAGCTACCAAAAGCCACCGGCCTCTTCGTCTTCACCTGCAGCCTTGCTGTCCTCCGGCGCTTCCTTCTCCTCCTCCTCCTCTTCTTCTTTGTCTTCCTCCTCTTCGTCTTCCTCATCTTCCTCATCTTCCTCCTCCTCGCCTTCGTCTTCCTCCTCCTCATCTTCATTATGCATCGGACCCTTGACATGAAGGAGCTTGTTGAGTCCAACTTGCTCAAGCACCTGTGAGGGACTCGCAGCATGACAAGAACCAGATCAAAACACCTCCCAAACACAGCTCACGTTCATGTGTGAGCTCCATTTTTCCTTGAGCTCCCTGCCTTTAGGATTGCCTCATCCTTGTATACGGCTTCAAGTTGCGGATAGCAAACTGCCGCACGCAGCGTGCAGCGTCTGGGCAGAATCCTGGGTCACTTGTAGCGCTTGCAAACTTAAGATTAAAACGCGTCCATCTTCCTACCTGCAGTGAATCAATTTTGCCTTGCTGGAGTAGTATCTGTTGCCCTTAGTGGGTTTAGCAGTTCACCCAGAATCGGATGCTGAGGTATGAAGAGGACCTCATTTGGTCCAGGCTGTTCGAGGCAGCTCAGCTTAACCTGGCTGTCCGACACTCCACAAAACACAAAACACAGTTGCTCACCCTGTTTCAGAGATAAATTCAAAAACATCGACGAGAGCTGAGGAACATGGGGCCACACCCCTGCCAGTGCTTTGAAGAGGACGCTTTTGCCACAACCCTCCTCCCCAAATATCAGCGCGTTCTTTCCAGCGGGTACTTTGAGCCTCACGTCTTGCCACAAAGGTGTGCCGTCTGGCAAATGAACTTCATCAATGTCCACAGCAAGGCGAATATGCGATTCACAGTCCATCGCGGTCTTAACCCCAGCGTTGACAGGCACAAAAGTTGGTTGACTCACGGTTTTCTCCGCGACAGCATGGATCCCATCCTCCAGCTCCAGGATTCGATTCCTGAAGCCGTCAAGTTGGTTGTGCTCTTAGAATGAGATGTAACGTGGATGCCTGTAAACCCAGATCTGCTAGCTCTGCCTGAATGTGCCTGAGAATAGTGAGGCAAGTCAAGGACCTCTGCCAAGGCTCAGGGAGGCTCGCCATTCGCAAACATCACTGTAGGAATTCACGAACCAGCCCATGCAGCTGACCAGATGTGTGGAGGCGCCACTGATTTGCATGAAATCACCAAAATCAATCTGGCAGGGTTCAGGCATGTTGATCAAGGATGCCTGGGGCAACCTTGACCTGATACTGCGGAACGTCATCATTCCCTCCCCGGGCTTGCACAATTCAACCCGCCATGCCTAGGACTCTAAACAAGGCGCAAACCTGCCTGCTTCTGAAAAAGGCAGGGTAGCAAGATGAAGGTGGGAAGCATCCACTGCACGTAGTCCAGCAAGGCCTGCGGCCCGGGTCGAAACGAAATTGAGATCCTTGGGCCTTTACCCCCCTCCTTCTCGTTGGTTGGAGGACAGGCTGATCCATCCTAAGACTTGCAGCGGGACGTATAGGGTTCAGGGACTGCACGCATGGAAGTTGTGATAACGGGCAGAACATAGCTGGGCAGCTGTATACCAATCCATGCAGTTTGACTCACAGGGGAAAACTCTGAGACAAAAGGCACAGAAAATAACATACATGAACCCCAGGCCCCAGACAAGACAAATTGGCATCTCAACTAGTACATTTGTGGTGCGTCCTTTTTGCAGACTGCTGCAGGGAACCCTACAGTGATTGACCGGATGGGCCTTGAAGGTGTCAATCCGCCGTTGCAGCTGCATGCTCTTATGCAGGATGTGTTTGAGGCGCCCGAAGGAAGACATGATCCTCCTGTGCCTTGCTGCCAGTGATGATAGGTTCCGCTTGGATTTGTTGCTTGCGCACTCTTTTGGATCACATCCCAGAATCTTACCGAGATGGAGGACTAAGGGTGCATCAGGGTGCGAAAGTCGTAGGCTGCAGCCAGCAAGCATGAGGCATTTGTCCAAGGATCCCCAACAGGACTCTGAAGCTGGCAGCGCAACGTTGTCGAGCGTTTCATAGCCGATGAAAGGTACCCGGTACCCTACAACAGCCCTGTGGAATCTTAGTTCTTAGTGCAGCTGTCTGGAAAGCATTCTGAACCCAGCTTGACTGCAGCTACAGCACAGAATACTTTTGCACCATCGAGTGACGACCCTATGGGAGCATGTCTCAAACGTCAACGCCAACAAGCTCCAACAAGCCCAAAGTCACTCGAAGTGAGCGAGCCTACTTGTTCCGTAGTGACAGTCCCCACAGCGAGTCTCGACTGATATGGTTTACACTTGACACGGTGAACATGGGCCCCAACCGTATCATAAGCACCACAGCCGGAACTGACACATCATTGACGACCTCGACAAGAAGGCTTATCAAATGGCATGATCTTGTTCCACACAAGTCTTAGCTTTAGCAGAAGCACTCCAATGCAGCGGAGCCATATACTGCAATGCTCTCTGCGTGTTCGTTGCAATGTGCCAAATCTTTTCGGACTGTCGCCTCAGTGTGAAATGCCCTCGGTGTGGCGTGGAAATCTGACACAAAGTAGAAATATCGGGAACCCACTAAATTGCGCCGTGTGGACATGCCTGCAAATGCGAGCTGCACTGGCCTCATGCTGCCGCCACCGCCACCGCCACC